TTTTAAACATATTTTTCCTTTATTGATTTTTAGAGAGGGAAAGATAGAAACATTGATGAGTGAAAACATCGATTGGCCGCCTCCTGCATGTACCCCACTGGGGATCGGGCCCACAAGCTGGGCTTATGCCCTGACTGGGAATCAAACCAGTAACCTCTTGGTGCATGGGTTGATGCTCAACCACTGAGCCACACCAGCAGGGCGAACATATTAATTTTTTAAAAGGCAAGAAGCTGGGGCAAGAGGCAGAGGGAGATCTACAAATGGGTCAAATAGAAAGTAAATAACAACAGAGTAGCAATAAACCCAACTGTGCTATTCATCAGAACAGATGTCAATGGACTAAATAAACACAGGAGTCAAAAGACTTCAACTTCAGATGGGTTTTTAGAAAATAAGCCATTAACAAGAGACACAGTTATCAACCACACAAACATACAAATTGATTGAAAGTTAAAGGATGGAAAAAGACGTACCAGGCAACTAGCAATCAAAATAAGTGGCGTCACTATATTACTACCAGACAAAATCAATGTTTAGGCAAAATGTTTATAGTAGTTTAAAAAGGCCACCTCATAATGATAAAAGCTTCAATTAACTGGGAGGACATAAAAATTCTAAACCTATATGTCCCTAATAAATAGCCTCGAAGTATATTGAGCAACACTTTGCCAGGACTATATAGAGAAATTTTTAAATGCACAATAATAATTGCAGATTTTAGAACAACTCTCTCCGTAGATGTTGGAAAACATCACCTAAAGGAAATCGGTATTCCACAGAAAATTTGAGCAGTGCCTGACCCAGCGGCATTCACCGATCACCCTGTCTAAATCTGCTCACCGTGTTGCCTGCGGAGCGCAGGGCTAACCACTGGCCCCACAAACCTCAGAGGGCTGGGCTTCTCACCCCACTGTCTCGGACTACAGTGCAATTGAGTCAGAAATCAATAACAAAAACATAACTAGGAAACCCAATATATTTGAAAATAATAATTTTTAAAACCGTCTAAGCCCCTCATGGGTCAAAGAGGAAAATGATGGTAGAAATGAGAAAATGACAAGAACTGGAAGAAGATGGAAATACAATACCCCCAAACCTGTGGGATTTCGTGAAAACGGCATTCACAGGAAGTGTACATACTTAGAAAAGAAGAAAGGCTGAGAATTTCCAAGCTAAGCATTTGATTTAAGAAGTTATATAAAAAAGAACATCAGAATAAAACTAAAGAAAGTACAGGGGGCCGTGGCCGGTTTGGCTCAGCGGTTGGAGCATTGGCCTGTGGTCCAGAGAGACCAGGTTCCGTTCCCACTAAGGACACGTACCTCGGTTGCAGTTTGTCCCCGGCCCTGGTTGGGTCGTGCGGGTGGCAGCCACTCCATGTGTCCCTTTCACATCAATGTTTCTCTCTCTCTCCCTCTCTATCCCTCCCACTCTATCTGAACAAAAAATGGAAAAATGTTCTCAGGTGAGGATAAAAAAAAAAGAAAGTGAGCATGTTGGTGTTTATTATTATTCTTTAAACCTCTTAGACTCTCTCATGTATGATCGTTTCACAATAAACAGAAGTGTGAAGAGCTGAGGAAGTAGAGACACAGGTCTAATACCCCAGGAAACTGGATCATGGAGGGAGGAGAGAGGCAGGGAGGTTGCAGAAGGATGTGGGTGATGCCACAGGAAATAAAGGGGAAGATGGCATGTGGCGAAGTCAGGAGAGATGCTCCCGACATTAGCAAGATGACAAGGGGAAGACGGGTTTGCGGGATTGGTGGTAGAATGCTGTGCGTGTTTTCCTGTGATGGTGTCTAATTTCTTTATGAAGGATTTATACATGGGGTGGGGGTCATTACCAGGAACGGCAAAGATGGCCAGCCGTACGGGATAGGTGTCTAAAATACTAAACATTTATTCAACTGAACAAAGAGCCCTTTCCATCCATGATTCCATCCGTGGTCCTTATCAAAGTGAGGAGGCGAGGACTCACGCTGCCTGCACTAGACCCCCAGGCCCCGGAACAGAGCGCCGCGGACTGCGTGGTTAAACTCGGAACCCGTGTTCTCGCAGTCCTGGGGGCTGGAAGTCCGAGAGCAAGGTGCCAGCGGGGCTGGTTTATTCTGAGGCCTCTCTCCTTGGGCTGCCAGATGCCTTTTGTCTTTGTGCATCTGCCCAGGATCTCTCTTCTCTACTTACGGGGACACCGGTCCGGTTGCATTGGGGCACCACCCTACCAGCCTCATGTTAACCCAGCCTCCTCTGTAAAGAACCTGTCTCCAAACACGGTCACATTTGGAATATTGGGGTTAGCGCTTCAACACTGGAATGTGGGGAGATACAATTCAACCCATAGCAATGTCCATAAGGAAACAGAGATTTAGGAAGCTGAACAACTTGCCCAGGACAGGCAGTTACGCTGGCAGAGCTGGGGTGCAAATTCAAGCAGGCCAGTTCCCGTGGCTGCTTGCCAAGCATTCTACTGTGAAAGCTCTGCACCTAGAAGATTGGAGCTGGATGGCAAGGCCTCTGAGAGAATTTTTTTTAAGGCTGACTAGAATAAAGGAGGAATATTATTAGACTTTTCAGAACTATAAGCTGAATGTTCCAGAATCCCTGGGATGGAATATACTTGCATAGATTTGCGTTTTAGATCTGAACTTTAAGCAGAAAGGCTGAATTTTAGCCAAAATGGCAGGAAAGGTAAACAATTCTGCATCAGCAGAATCCTCTATCCCCGGTTCCCTTTTCTGGAGAAGCCAGAAGTTACAGGCTGAGGAGGGTGACACCTGCTGGGCCGGAAAGGAACTGGATGGGAATCCGGCTCTTTTCATGTGTGGTCCCCGATTGCCCTCTGCTGGCCAACACTAGGAATACTCAGCAATCTGTAGACAGGGAAAGGGAAGAACCCACAGTAATCAGATCGTGGAGTACGTCATCCCACCCCTCTGCAAACACAGGCACACACATTTGAGTCAATGGTACGGTCAACTTACACTTTTAGGCACTCTGCATCTGCAGAGCTGTTTTGAAACTTCTTTAGCTGTTTTCATCATTATAATTTTAAAAACTTTCTACATCTGCTACCTTCTCAAAAATGCTTCCCAAGATCTAAAGATATGCAAATTTGAATGCAGGTTTTGATGATTTAACAAAACATTGGCTTGCACATCAGTTCATGTGTTCAAAATTATAAACTTATTGTATATACAGCTTGGATAGTTCCCCCCCACCCCAACATTTTAAAACCATGGTTTCCTCTGTGATAGCCCAGGGACCCCACCATTTGGTTATAGCATTTTTGTAAAAATAATTTTCATTTTCAAATGTGACTTTTCTTTTTTAAAAATCAGTAGTTCAACCCAGCCGGGCGTGACTCAGTGGTTGAGCATTGACCCATGCACCAAGAGGTTGCTGGTTTGATTCTTGGTCAGGGCACATGCCCAGGTTGTGGGCCTGATCCCCAGTGGGAGGCATGCAGGAGGCGGCCAATCGATGTTCTCTCTCATTGATGTTTCTATCTATCTCTCCCTCTCCCTTCCTCTCTCTCTAAAGTCAATAAATAAATAAAAAAAATAAAAAATTAGTAGTTCATGATTTTAGAAGTTTCACTGTTATATATTTGGGGTAAATGTTCTAAGTAATGAAGGGTTCCCTGAATTGAGAAGCAGTAAATGCCAGAAGAAACCACTGATCTCACTGAGCACTAGAAGTCCTGGCCAGGGTGCTGCCCAGGATGTGTGGCCTTGGAATCTCTGCGACATTCAAACTGCCCCCGACTCTTCTGTGAGCCCTGGACCCGCTTCATGCAGACACCAGAGTGGGTGTTTAAAATGCAAATCAGATCGTGATCCCTGGAGAGGCCAAATGTCACACCTTTGATTTTTAAATAAAATACAAATTCCTTACCAGCTGTCCAAGGCCACGTGATCTGTCTCCTGGGGTCCTCTCCCAGTCTGCACTTGCCCCCCCCTCCTTCCCCTTCGGTGTCTGCGCCTTTATCCTTCAAGGATCTGTCTGTGGTCCTATCTCAGTATTCTGTTTATTTCCTCCAGGGCACTGGCTATAATTTATAACAGTCTTGTTTATTTCTCTGTTGTTCATTTCTTTTCTCCACCACTAGACCTATCCATCAGGCGAGCCTGGTCATCGGGCTCTGCCGCACCCCCAGTCCTAGGGGCACATGCTTACCAGAGTGAGTGAGCGAATGATGTGAGCAAAGGGAGGTGCTGAGAGGTGAGTGACACCCAAGTCATTCCTTGGAGATCACAGTGCCGTGTTCCTTCATACACATAGGGAGTCCCATTCCTGACCCGTGGCGTGGAAGCAAGGAGAGGCCGGCGGCAGGCGTCAAGGAGCAGACAGTTCTGCCTTTCCTCTCTGACTGATACCTGTCACCAAAACCTCGTTCTCTACTCAGGGGACCCCTGTGAGGCAGAGAGAACCCCAGGCCTTGAACCACCGTCTAGGAGAGATGGAGGGAAACACTCTTGCTAATGCATCAGAAGTAATAATTTAATCAGTAGTTAGGTACTGATGCAGGATGCAAATAACAGCTACTAACCGGCCAATAACACTTTGTGTTAATCCAGTGCCTCCTCCTTGCAAGGGCACAGCCCTGCCCTCGGGGAGGCAGCTCACAGTCCCATTTTACAAATGGAAAAATAACAAACCCATGGCCAGTGGGCTGGAGGACCAGCTGGGCGGCAGGCTGATGCCTGGCCTTCCAGGGTCTCTGTCCCCATCTCCCGTCGGGCCATCAGCGCTGAGCAAGGGCAAGCAGACTCAGAAGTGTCATCAGTTTGCAATCTGTGGCTCGGGGCGGCTTGATGAGAGTGATCCCCAAAGAGGTAGCGAGGGAGGACCAGAATGCTTGCCGGGGTCCCGGGGGCCTGGTCAGACACCTGATGTGCTACTGGGTGGATGTAGGCTCCTTTGCGTAGCTTTCCTCCGGGGCAGGAACCTGGCATGTGACCGGGACAATCCACAGAGGTCAGCCAGCACGGGGTGTCCCAGACCCGCGGGCGCAGCCTCAGGGCAGGCAGCGCTGGGGGTCCCTCAGGAAGAGGGCCAGCCTCTGGGCCACGGCGTCCAGCTCGGGGGCGCTGGCGTGCTGCAGGAGGTTGCTGCTGCGCACGAAGAAGTGCCTCAGGAAGCGCTCGCTCACACACTTGTGCAGCTTCCTCGCCAGGCGCAGGAGCCCCCGGCCGAACTCCCGCCAGTCCTTCGGGTGCGGGTACTTCTCGCAGGTCCAGAAGAGCACCGTCTGCCGAGGAAGAGGCGGGGTCAGCCCGCTGGGCCCTGAGGAGAGCACCTCCAGGACACTGAGGCCCGTGACCTTGGAGGAGGCAGAGGTCGCCGGGGCAAGCTGGTTCTGCCCTGCATTCCTGGTCCCCACCCTCGGGTCCTCAGCCTTGTCCCGCTGGTCTCCTGCGGCTCTTTGTTCATTCATTCGCTGGCCACTAACATGTCTAATGAGCCCAACTCTCTATAAGGCCGATTCCCGGCCCCAGCAGAGGCCTCTGCTTCTACTTCACAGGGAGACGGAAAGCTCCTGCCCGCAGACCAGACACCGCCACGTCAGCATCCCCCTGCCTCCCCTCCACCGCTCCTACGTGGGAATCGGCTCTCCTTCCAGAAACTACGACTGAGCTCCCTCCACCGCACTGGCTCCCAACCCGTTCAAAGCTCTCCTGCTCCCCCCAGTTCCACCTCTCCTCCTGCCCCAACCCTCACCTCCGCAAGGCCAGGTTTCTCCAGTCACCTCAACTTCACAGCTAATGTCCTCTGCTCCGATTCATGCCTCAGTGCACTCCAGTCCCCAGCCCTCCGAGGCTGCTCTCCTGAAGGGCTGACCTGCCCACTGCTGACCCCAACGGGTCTCCCCAGGCCTCTCTGCACCTGCCCTTCAGCAGACTCTCCACACCTCCCTGTCGAGCGCTTCGGGCTTCCAGCCGGCCCCAGGTGTCTCCAGCACCACACTCCCCCTGGCAGGTGCTTCGCCCTCACCCGCCTTCACTTCGCGTTTCTGGGCTCCGGGCCCTCTTGCTCCACCTTCCTCCCACAGCACTGGCTTTATTTCCCACAAGACGTAGGTGACTCCCAATCCCTTCTCCAGCCCAGACTTCCCCACCGACTTCTTCACCTGTGTTTCTTGACTATCTGAGCATTATCTGTGAACATGTCCCAACGGAGCTCACGGCCTCCCCGCCCCCCACCTGGTCTGCCTCCAGACTTGCTTATCCAGCCAGTTAAGCAAGACACAGGCCTAGGAGCCCCCCCCCCCCAACCCAGTCACGTCCTGCCTCCTGCGGCCCCAGCAGTTCGCAGATCCACCCCTTCCTTCACCTGCAATACCACCGTCCTCCTCCTCCATGTCCACCGGCCTCTGCAATGGCTGTCCAGGCCGTCAGCACCTACTGCTGTCACCGTCCATCTGTCCCCGTCCACACTGAAGCCAGCGTGGTCTTTTTCAACTAAAAATTTGTCTGTGCTGCTTCTTATCTAAATGCTTCCAAGTCTTCCCACTGTTTGCTAATTAAAGAAATAACCCTTAGCACAGCTTGGTTCACAAGGTTTGGGCCCCACCTTCCTTTCCAGCCTCACCTGGCCTGATGCGTCCCTGGCTTCTCCTTCCGGCCACGCTGGCCTCGTTTCATGCCCCTTCCACCTCGGGGCCTCCGCACCCCGCTTCTGCACGTCACCTCCTTCCTTCCCCTCTTCGCCCGGGACACTCGTCCACCACATCAAATTTCCCTGACACCCGTCAAACATCCGCATCGCCTCACATTTCTCATCAGCAGCCACGCCCACAGCAGCAGTCGTTTTCCTACTGACTCCTGGGACCCTTTCCAGGCTGTGACGCGAGCAGAGGACCTGTTTCTATCCACTGTCACGTCACCGGCCCCGTGGAGGGGCTGGCCCATGCGGGAGGCACCCAGGAAGTGTTTACTGATGGATTAACTAGTGTTAGGGTTTAGATGGTGAGTGCCCCTCCTGGGCAGGGGGTAAAAACCGTGTTTTAACCACAGCAAGAATTTGAATGTGTTTTGATTTAGATTAAACTGTTTGGAGTGTGCAGCCAGTGTGGCTCAGTGGCTGAGCGTCGACCCATGCACCAAGAGGTCGCCAGTTCAATTCCCGGTCAGGGCACATGCCCAGGCTGTGGGCCAGGCCCCAGTGAGGGGCGTGCAGGAGACGGCCAGGCGATGTTCTCTCTCATTGATGTCTCTCTCTCTCTCTCTCTCTCTCTCTCTCTCTCTCTCTCTCTCTCTCTCCCTGTTCCTCTCTAAAATCAATAAAGAAAAATAAATAAATAAATACACTGTTTGGAGTAAATGAATTGGAGAGAATTTCATGCTCGTCAAGATAACCTAGATACAAAAATAAAATGTATCGATTCCTATCTTGTAGTTAACCTTTCCTCTCCCTAGGCAAACGGGGGCGGTGGAGCCTGTTAGAGTCGAGGCCCTGTGCCTCTGAGTGAGTTTTAGAACTAAGTAGCCAATGAAAGAGCAGCTCTCGAGTGGAGAGAAATTGCACTGGGGGAAAGCTCTTCGGGAGGAGGGGCCTCTAAGACAGGGTCGGGCTTAAGGTGGCCAGGACTGGCTGTTTGGACCCACTCTCTTCCCCTTTGCCCAGACGGAGCTTTGCAATGGTCCTGCTCACTGAGGCCGTCTTCAGGACGACCCCACTGTCAGCAGCCTCGCCCCTTGCCCTTGCCCAAGGGCGGACGACTAGAGGAAGAGGCAGCTCCAGTCTTTCTGTCCCAGCCCAGACTCCCTTTTAAATGCCGCTCCTGAGAACGCAGCCTCACTGTGCCGGTAGGTGGGCCAGGCAGGACCAAGCAGACAACCTTGGAGCTGCCCTGAAACGCTCTGGATGATTTAGAGGCAGCTGGAGTGAACGTGACCCGTGGGTGGGGTGCAGTTCTGAGAGCAGTCAAGGTCTGGGGGGCCCATGGTGAACCTAGTCAGTCTTGCCTAAAATAGTTATGCCACTTAAAGGGTTTCCGTCCATCTTAATTGTGAAGCAATGTCATCGGGGGTTAAGATGATGAGGTTTTGCTACGAGAGGCTAGACTTTGCCTCTCTGCTCTAACTCTTCCTAGTGTAGAAAGACAAGTAAGGAAGAAGTTGAACATGTCCTGCTTTCCTCCCCTGATCGGAGTGTGCGCGTGTGTGTGTGCGTGCGCGTGCATGCATGTGTGTGCATGCATGTGTGTGCTCATGAGTACATGTGTGTGCATGTACGTGTGTGTGTGCATGTGCATGCGTGTGTGCGCACGTGCATGTGTGTGTGTGAATGGTTGCACTGGACTAGAGTGGGGACTGATTCATTTCTAAAGCTCAGCAGGATTTCTGGCACATAATGAACACTTTTGTTGGTTTGTTGAGTGAAATACATAGAGGGGAGAGAGAGAAAGAGCCTGAAAAACAGGAAGGGAAGACACAAAGAAAGAGAAGGGAAAGAGGGGAAGTGAAAAGAGGAAGGGAGAGAAGTGAGGAAATTCACCCGGCCAGGGGTGTTGTGGACACACACACAGCCCGGTTTCTCTCTCCACGAGTGAGAATTTGTGGGATAGCAAATATGAACACTGGAGTCCCATCGTGAACTCATCACACACACACAGGCCTCTTCGGAGTGGCCCCGGCCAGGCCCTACAGGACGCCGGGGACCCGCCCACCACAGCTGCGCTGGTCGCACACTCACCTGCAGATGGTAGGATGCGAGGACAGGCCTCTTGCCCGGGCACCAGACGTCCTCCTTCATCTGCCGCAAGGCCTGGAAGCACCTCCGGCGGCAGCCCCCGTCCTCGTCCAGCTGCTCCAGCAGCACCTGCTCGGCCCGCGAGAAGCTCAGCTGCCAGTGATAACCGGACTGGGCCAACAAGCTGAATCCAAACGACTGGAAGGAGAGGGAAACATGGGGAAATGAGAAGGATGACGCTTGCTGGAGCAGAGAGCCATCTCTGGAGCAGTCCGCTAGCCTGGGGGACCGGCCACGCGCAGGCCGTGCCCCCCACCGGGGACACGGAGGGAGCCTCAGGACACGCCCCCTTGCACCTGGGCAGGGAGTCGCAGGGGCGTGTTCACTGCCCCTCAGGAGGGGTTCTCCAAGGTGAGCCTGCACCAGAACCACCTGGTGGGCTTGTAAAATGCAGATGGCTGGGCCCTGCCCACTGAGCCTCATTCAGGAGGCCCAGAGTGGGCCCAGGACTCTGCATGTCTAACAGGTTCTCAGGGGCTGCTGCCGGTTTCGGGGCCCACACTTTGAGAACCACTGCTTGTGAAACCTATTTTCTTTCCGAAGCTGGCGGGCGGGCGGCGATGCTGTGGGGGGTGAAGCTGTGAGGTCTGTGCTCTGGTGAGCTGGGGCCCGGCCCACAGTACCTTGACGCATTTCACTCTCTCTGGGGTGGGCCAGCGCGTCAGACACCGAGGCCACTGGGCTTTCTTGGACCAGGCGGGGATCTCCACCTCGGGGGCCAGCTCTATCTCCACCTGGCCTTCAGATGTTCCCATGGCAACACGGACGGCGATGCTGTTTGTTAGCATGCTGACCTTTCCTGGTGGGAAATGACAAACGGGCTCAGTGAAAACATTCAAAGAGGGAATCGGCGACTCTGGCCAGCTCCTTACAGCTGGCGGGGGTGGGGGCACTTTCAGGGTGTTGCTAGCCCATCAAGGGTGCAATGGGGGGGGTGGTGTTTACATAAAAACGAGACCATTTGCCAAAGAAATATTGATAGAAGCATTGCTAGAAAAAATATCACGGTTGGTGGGTTTTTCTTTATCTTTCCTCCCTCCCCCAAGGCTGTTAGGGTACTTTTCCTTTAGATTAATAGATTCTTTTCAGAAGGTTCAACTGAAAGAGACGCAGAATACAAAGGGCAGAGTATTTGCGACTGTAAGATGAAATCCCACCATTCTCCTACATCCCCTCATTCCGCCCAGATGCCTGACCTTGTTTAGGACGCCTTGGCCCTCACTTATTCCTCGGCCTTTGGTGGCGTTCGGGTTAGCTGTCTCCTAGCTGAGTCAGCGGCTCTCCGGGGTACCTGTTCCCACAGCCCATTTAGCCAGCCTCCCTCAGCTGTATTACATCCCAAGCCCTGGTAACCGAAACATGCTCCCCGGAATGGCACAAGCACTAGCTCAGAGTCGAGCGAGCATACAGAAGCCCTCACGCCGTCATTTGCAACTGGGCAGAGCCGGGAGAGAAAAGAAACGCACTTGGTAAACTCTTCTGGCTCGCAGACTAGAATCCATTTCTGACCCGTTCTTTCGAAGGATACCCAGTTTCTGTTTGTGTGCCTTCATTCCAGATGAGGGTGCACCGTCCGGGATCAGGAGCTATCGTTTTGCTTTTCCTTGCCCAGGGGAAGAGAGAAGCACCCCCATGAACGTCCGGCTGTCCCAGGGAGAACACTCTCCTTGGCGGGGGTGAGAAACAGCTCACTGTCTGCATCTCATCAGGGCTGCTCCGAGGAGCATGACAACGGCTGGCATTTGAGCACCATTTCCTGAAGGCGCCTCCTCACCCTGGCCCAGCCGGAACCTCTTATACCCACTTTCCCTGCTCACGGTGTTTAAAAGCGAACAGGTGGGGAGCACTGCACCAGCCTGCGCCGCCTGCACCCCGCTCCTGCTCTCTCTGACCACCCGGTGTGCGACCTTCTGCATGGTACTCAATCTCTCTAACTCTCTCTCTGTTTTTTACATCTGTAGAACAGGTAGAAAAATAATTCTTACTCTCTAGGGGTGCTGTGAGTATTAAATTAAATAATCTGCGAAAGCAGCGGTTCTCAACCTTCCTGATGCCGCGACCGTTTAATACAGTTCCTCGTGTTGTGGTGACCCCCAACCATAAAATTATTTTTGTTGCTACTTCATAATTGTAATTTTGCTATTGTTATGTCTTAGGCGACCCCTGTGAAAGGGTCGTTCGATCCCCAAAGTGGTCGCGACCCACAGGTTGAGAACCGCTGCACGAAAGCCTCCTATCCATAGTAACAATCCATTAAACGTGAGCTGTTTCCATCATGGAACCTTCCAGAATTATTCTGTCTAGACAAGGACATGTACACAGAAATCCATCTCTTTCTGTACAAATGGAATCACATACGGTTCAGCACTTCAGTTTTTCACTCACTTATCCCGCATTGCCGTTTTCCTAACTCTGTGTGTGCACACGTACCTTTTTGAAGGCTGCATGGTAATCCACTGGGCCCAGGCAGCATGATTTACTCGACTTTCCTTTGTTAGCCTCCTGGTTCGTTCTAGCTGTCCCCTATCACCAAACCTCAGCTGTGGGTATCCCTGTGCACATTTCTCTGTGTCTGTAGGAATCTATCTCCAGAACTGGAATTACTGAATCACTAAGTAATCACATTATAAAAATAAAAGTGGACAAATTGCGCTTTAAAATGTAGGCACCAATTTACACTTTCAAGAAAATGTGTTTTACCACACCCACCCCTACACCAAGTGTGGTCGGATGTTTTCATCTCTGCCAATCTGTTAACTGTCTTAATGTACATTTCTCAAAATACATGTTAGATGGGACTTTTTTTTTCTTATTTTTACTAGCCATTTATATTCCTTTCCTGTGAGTCATGGTTTTTTGTTTTTTTTTTAATTTATTTTTTAATCCTCACCCAAGGATATGCTTTTATTAATTGAGTGTGTGTGTGTGTGAGAGAGAGAGAGACAGAGAGAGACAGAGAGATGAGAGAGGAACATCAATCAGTTGCCTCCTGTAGGTGTCCCCACTGGGGATCGAACATACAACCTAGGTATGTGTCCTGACCAGGAATCGAACCTGCAATCATTTCGGTGTATGGGAGCATGCTCCAACCACTCAGCATCCATCCAGGGATGTGAGTCATGGGTTTTTTGGTCATTATTTCTATTGGTATGCTTGTATATTTCCTTACTGGTTTATAAGCACTCTTGTATAATTGAGGAAATTAGCCATTTTTCCAGTTTGAAATTCACCTTTTCACTCTGGGTGAGCAAAACGTGTGTGCACACATATGCCCCAGTGGACTACAGCTTCAGCTGCTGGGCTGCTGAACTTAATCAGTCGTTATGGCTTCTGGACCGTGTGTTTTGGTAAAAGTCAGTGGTTTCCAACTGTGCTCTCTCAACGCTGGGGCACTGCAGCCGTGGCAGAGTATGGTAGTGGAAATGTGCTAATAGCAAAGACCGAAGGCTTATGAATAACTTGCTTTTTTTTAAAGTACCCAAGTTGTAAGCTAGCATTTCAGAAAGGCTGCATAACCCGAAGCCCGCCATTCCGTGCCCGGGCAGTGAGCGACTGCCTCCCGGAGTGTGTCGGTGCTGTGTGAGTTCCATGCTTCCGTGTGTGATAGAAAAAAGAGCCGCTAGCACTGTGGGGATCGGACAGGTGTGAAGAGCACATGATTATTGTCTCAATTTAGGGACGCGAGCTTCAAGGGACACCCAAGCAGAGGTTTTATCGAGTCAAAGTTTTTACCGAAATTGCCCTTGTACTTTTCTTCATCTGCTTACCTGACAGGTGACAGGTTTCAATTGCGTTTTCTACCAGTTTCCGGAACACCTGGAGGACCTTGGCGGGCACAATGTCTCCCTCAATGTTCACATCTGCCTTGTGCCACTGCCACAGGCTCCTCGTGAACTGCTGCACCTCCAGCCACTGCTGCAGGCCCTCCGGGTTCCGCAAGGGGCAGGCGAGCCGGGTGCCCTGCAGGGTGTAGTACCGCCAGCGCTGCTCCTTGGCCTCCCTGTACCCGGCCAGGCCTCTCACTGGGACTGTGACAAGGAACTGGCTGGGGGCCATCACCTGGGGTCAGGAAAGGAGAGAGAGTGTGAGTCTGCAGACTTGGGAGGTCACCGAGGTCCCCTGCAGCCGACCTGTTGAGCCAGGCGGCTCAGTTAACCACTCGGCCCTCAGCAACGTGCCGAGGTGGACGGGGAGCTGCCTATTGCAAGGGGCCCATCCGTGTCCTGCCACAACCCACTGGGATGCTTCAAGCAGGCACATTAGCTCACTGAGCTCTTGGTTTCATGAATCTGCAAGGATCTAGTTCTACGCAAAGTGATGTTATGTTTCTGTTCCTCGTCACTGGTCTACTTGCGTGTGATGTAGGTGTCCGCAGAGGTGGGTGGTGGAGCCGGGCAGACAGGGTTCTGGCATTCCCGCATCCAATCTAGTTTTAATTTTCATCCTGGACTGAATTTCCCAAGATCCGACTCTGTTTCAAGATGCACAAGTCCCAGAATCTTATGGGTGGTTCCTATGCCCACCGACCTTGACATGTGCTGGGCCAGCAAGGGTCTTCTATTCGCATACTAATTCTTCAGCTCATCCATTCATTCAGCAGAAGTTGAGTGTCTGCTGCAGGCCATACCATGCTGGGGGCCGGGAATGGAGCCAGCAATAACCATGATTCTTACAAACAAGGAACTCTGGTGTGAGAAAGGGGCATGCATACGTATAAGGGGTTCTTTTTTTTTTTTTTTTAATTTTTTTTTTTTGTTACAGATGTTTCTCCTTTTTTACCCCATTGGCACCCCACTCCCCAACCCACCCCCGCCCTGTCCCCGGCTTTGTTGTCCATGTCCATTGGTCATGCATCCATGCATATAAGTTCTGTGGTTTATCTCTTCCCACCCCCCAACCCCCACCCCCTCTTCTGAGGGATGTCAGTCTGTGCACTACTTCCATGTTTCTGGGTCTACCGTATTCCTAAGACTGTTATGTTCATTATGTTCTGTATATAAATGAGATCATGTGGTATTTGTCTTTTTCTCCTTGGCTTATTTCACTTAGGATAATACTTTCCAGGTCCCTCCATGTCGTCTCAAAGGATAAAAGATCTTTCTTTCTTACAGCTGCATAGTACTCCATTGTGTATACGTACCACAGCTTTTTTATCCATTCATCTACTGATGGACATTTGGGATGTTTCCAGATCTTAGCTATTGTAAATAGTGCTGCTATGAACTTGGGGGTACATATATTCTTCCTGATTGGTGTTTCAGGCTTCTTAGGGTATATTCCTAGAAGCGGGATCACTGGGTCAAATGGAAGTTCAATTTTTAATTTTTTGAGGTAACACCATATTGTTTTCCATAGTGGCTGCACCAGTCTGCATTCCCACCAGCAGTGTATTAGAGTTCCCTTTTCTCCACACCCTCGCCAACACTTGTTGTTTGATGATTTGTTGATGGTGGCCATTCTGACAGGTGTGAGGTGATACCTCATTGTTGTTTTAATTTACATCTCTCTGATGATTAGTGATGTTGAGCATTTTTTCATATGTCTCTTGGCCATTTGTATGTCCTGTTTGGAGAGGTGTCTATTCAGCTCCTCTGCCCATTTTTTAATTGGGTTCTTTGTCTTCCTTTTGTTGAGTTGTATGAGCACTCTATATATATTCGAAATTAACCCCTTATCTGATATATCATTGGCAATGATGTTCTCCCATACAGTGGGTTGCCTTTCCATTTTGATGATTGTTTCTTTAGCTGTGCAGAAGCTTTTTAGTTTGATGTAGTCCCATGAGTTCATTTTTTCCTTTGTTTCTGTTGCCTTAGGTGATGTATCAGTGAAAATTCTGCTGCGTATAATGTCCGAAATGTTGTTGCCTACATTTTCTTCTAGAATTTTTATGGATTCACGGGTCACATTTAAGTCTTTTATCCATTTGGTGTTTATTTTTGTGTATGGTGTAAGTTGATGGTCTAGTTTCATTTTTTGCTTGTAGCTGTCCAATTTTCCCAACACCATTTATTAAAGAGGCTGTCTTTACTCCACTGTATGCTCTTGCCACTTTTGTCAAATATTAATTGAGCATATTGCCTTGGGTCCATTTCTGGGTTTTCAGTTCTGTTCCACTGGTCTATATGCCTGTTCTTGTGCCAGTACCAGGCTGTTTTGATTACAGTTGCTTTGTGGTATAACCTGATATCTGGTATTGTGATCCCACCTACTTTGTCCTTCTTTTTCAAAATCGCTGTGGCTATTCAGGGACTTTTTTGGTTCCATATGAACTTTTGAAGTATTTGTTCTAGTTCTGTGAAATATGTCGTTGGTATTTTGATGGGGATTGCATTGAATCTATAGATTGCTTTGGGTAGTATGGACATTTTAATGATGTTAATTCTTCCAATCCATGAACAGGGTATGTGCTTCCACTTTTTTATATCTTCCTCTATTTCTGTTTTCAATGGCCTGTAGTTTTCTGCAAATAGGTCCTGTATTTCTTTGGTTAAGTTTATTCCTAGATATCTTAATTTTTTGGCCGTGATGGTAAATGGGATTGTTTTTTCAGTTTCTCTTTCTGTGAGATCATCATTGGTGTATACGATTGCCGTCGATTTTTTGACATTAATGTTGTATCCTGCTACTTTTCCAAATTCATTTATTAAGTCTAGTAGATTTTTGATGGAGTCTTTAGGGTTTTCTATGTATAATATCATGTCATCTGCAAATAATGACAGTTTTACTTCCTCCTTTCCAATTTGGATCCCTTTTATTTTTTCTTCCTGTCTGATTGCTGTGGCTACGACTTCCAGTACTATGTTAAATAAGGGTGGCGAAAGTGGGCATCCCTGTCTTGTTCCTCTTCTTAATGGAAATGTTTTTAGCTTCTGACCATTGAGTATGATGTTGGCTGTAGGTCTTTCATATATAGCCTTTATTATGTCGAGATATGATCCCTCTATTCCCACATTGCTGAGCATTTTTATCAGAAATGGATGCTGGATTTTGTCGAATGCTTTTTCAGCATCTATTGATATGATTATGTGGTTTGTATTCTTCATTTTGTTTATGTGGTGTATCACATTTATTGATTTGCAAATATTGTACCAGCCTTGCATCTCTGAAATTAATCCCACTTGGTCATGGTGAATAATTTTTTTGATGTAGTGCTGGATCCGATTTGCTAGTATTTTGTTCAGGATTTTGGCGTCTATGTTCATCAGGGATATTGGCCTGTAGTTTTCTTTCTTTGTAGTGTCTTTTTCTGGCTTTGGAAATAGAATTATGCTGGTCTCATAGAACGTGTTTGGAAGTCTTCCTTCTTGAATTTTTTGAAATATTTTGTGAAGAATGGGTGTTAGTTCTTTTTTGAATGTTCGGTAAAACTCCCCCATCTAGGCCTGGGCTTTTGTTTGCTGGGAGAGTCTTGATTACCTCTTCAATTTCCTTCGTTGTTCTTGGTCTGTTCACGTTTTTTATCTCTTCCCGGTCCAGTTTTGGGAGACTGTGTGTTTTGAGAAATTTGTCCATTTCGCTTAGATTGTCGAATTTGTTGCCATATAGTTGTTCATAGTAGTTGTTAACGATGAAAGGGGTTCTTATGTCGTAAGAAAAATCGAGGTAAAGGTGCATGGGGATGCAGAATCCAGAGCCTCACTTCTCTCCTCCCTAAAAGGGAGAGAACATGAATGTCTGTCCTGCAGACTGTCTGCGGGTTTGAGTGGGATCATTTCTGCTGTGTGAGTGTGGGCCGTTACACGTTGGCCCTGGTGGCGTACAGCTCTGTGGGGTTCCTCAGCAGGGGTGGGGTCCAAGGCTGCTCCTGTAGTTTCTAAAGGCCACCGCTTCCACCTCCTTTCCTCCATGCCTCCTGGAAACCCACAGACCACCACGTTCCACTACTTTCTCAGCAATGCCCTCTGCCCGGCCCCGACCTGGAAGCAGTTGCTTGATAAGCGAAGGCGCCAGCTTTGGGATCAGGGCCCCGGGGTGTGTTCTGGCTTCAGTGCCCAATAGGACTGATCCAGTCATTTTATTTCCCTAAGTCTCAATTTTTATCATCTGGAAAGCAGGAATGCAAGTGTTCAAATGAGTCTGTAAATGGTAGATGCTAAGAGTACCCCTGGAAACAGGAAGCACTCTTAGTGTCTTAGTGGTGCCAGTCCCGCCCGCCCAGTTGCCAGGTTCTGTGGGGGGCACCCAGGGACAAGTAGTCTTGCTCACCTTAATGTTCCCATTGTACGTCGAGGAGTAAGGGATGGCTTGGAAGCGGATGTCCTGGTTGCTGATTTCCGTGGTCAGGTGGTAGATGACTTTCTGCACCTCCTCCACAGTCTGCGAGAGCTGCTGGCGCCTCAGGGTCACCTGGGCGGGCAGGAAGCAGCACAAGGTTATTTCCGGTGCTGGCGCCCAGGCACTGGCAGAAGGAAGTGACGGAATAGGACACGGTGACCAAAGCAGCGGGGCTCAGAAGTTCCCGCCTTCCCAGAACTCCAGGAGAAGGGACTCGGGTCTGATGGCGCTCCTCACGGCCTCAGCGTTCGCTTCTAGGACAGAAGCATTCATTGCCCTGGCAGGGTTGGCTCAGCGGTCAGAGTGTCGGCCCATGGACTGAGGGTCTCAGGTTCGACTCCAGGTCAAGGGCATGTACCTGGGTTGCAGGTTCGATCCCTGGCCTGGTCAAGGTGGTGCAGGAGACAACCAATCAATGTGTCTCTCTCACATCAATATTTCTCTCCCTGTCTCTCTTCCTTTCTTCCACTATCTAAAAATCAATAGAAAAATATTCTCAGGTGAGGATTAACAAACAAACAAACAAAAAAGCTTAAGAAAAAAAGGCCTTGCCAGTGTGGCTCAGTGGGTTGAGTGTCATCCCATAGACTGAGACGTCCTGGTTTGATTCCTGGTCAGGGCACATGCTGGGTTGTGGAGTTGATCTCCAGTAGGGGGCGTGCAGGAGGCAGCCGATCTGTTTCTCTCTTACATCCATGTTTCCATCTCTCTACTCCTTCCTCTCTAGAGAATCAATAAAAACATATTTAAAAAAATAAAGTAAAATAGGAGCATTCACTCAATTTTATCTAGTACCTGCCATGTGGTAGGTGCCCATCCACATGCTGAGGCAGAACAGTGAACAAGACAGAGAGACTTGCCTCTAGATGAAAATAAAGGGCCTAGGTATATATATACACACACCACACATACAGGGTGTGGCAAAAGTAGGTTTACAGTTGTTTGTCTGGGAAAATTATACAATAATTAATAAATCATAATGCAGGGATAAACTTTGTTCTGCATGCCCACAACTGTACACCTACTTTGCCTCACCCTGGATATGTGTTTACACACATCGTGTGTGCATAGTGTGATACCAGGTATGATAGTCCCACAAAGAAAAATACAATAGGATAAGGGATTAGAGGGTAAGAAGGCCAGGGGAGTCATCTCCAAGGAGGTGACACTTGAGTGAGCCCAGCTGACCGCAGGGAAAGCAGTGCCAAGGCCCCCGAAGCAGGAGCATGCTTGGCAAAGCTGGGGGCCAGCAAGGATGCAACTGGGCTGGAGCCTGGAACAGGAGGACAGGAGATGAGTTTGGAAAGGTTGGCTGGGCCAGACCATTATGCAGGGTTTGGGAGCTATGGTGAGCCTATAATGTAATGGGATGATGACGCCTGCGGTCCAGTATGAAACAGTTCAGTACGTGCGGACATGAGCAGTGCGGTACGTGCGGACATGAGCAGTGCGGTACGTGCGGACATGAGCAGTTCGGTAAGTGTGCATATGAGCAGTTCGGTACGTGTGGACATGAGCAGTTCGGTAAGTGTGCATATGAGCAGTTCGGTACGTGTGGACATGAGCAGTTCGGTACATGCGGACATGAGCAGTGCGGTACGTGCGGACATGAGCAGTTCGGTACGTGCGGATATGAGCAGTTCAGCACGTGCAGAAAAGAGCAGTTTAATGGTGGAAACGTGCAGCGACTGCTTCCCGCTTTGCCAGTAAAGGGTGGCCCCCTTCTCCTCGGGACGCACCCCCATGGACCTGGAAGAGAGGGCTGCAGGCGCTTCTTCTGACTCCTCACAGCAAGTCTCCGAAAACTGGGGGAACCCACAGAAAATTGAACACCAGAAATATATACCTTAAGAGTTAGGTAAGAAATCGATTTTTGTGGGAACTACAAAGGAACTTTTAGTCAACTCCAGGAGAGGCAGAACACTCCAGATGACGTTTGGATGGGAAGAGCCTGTAAGTGTTTCGAAGCAGGGGAGCTCTTCGCTGTGGGCTCGGAGGCCCCCGCAGCTGGTACCGTCACAACAGCCAGGAGCTGATTTGGAGCATCGAATGCAATATCTAAATACATCTCAATGTATCACAAAATTTTGCGTTTCTTCTGAGCTTTGTACAGTTGCTGTTTCTATACATTCTAGAGTAGTTTCAGACACCCACAAACTGGTCAAGAAAAACAGCGTCAAGGAGATTTGTGTTTTTCTAAACTAGGTCATCAATTTGTCCAGTCTCCTGAGACCTCACACCGCCCATCAACCAACAAGTCAACTCCGTACGGACACAGCACACAAATGTGGGTGTGCATTGATTTGCACACGTGCTGTATGCCACATGCAGAGTCAGTGCATTGATAAGCCTTTGTTTAGCTATGTGCCAGGCACTCTGTTACCCGCCAGGGCACAGCAGCACTGACCCAGACATGGCCGTGAACTTAAAGCGAGGCAGGGGGGCTGGGCAGACACAGCACAGACCTAAGGGAAGGGGAGGTGCCATCGGGTACGATGAGGCAGCTTGAACCCATTTTATACGTACATATCCCCACACACACAGGACTGCCTTAAAAAACTAATTACTAACACACTCCAGATTCCTAGACATGAAGTTGTCTTTTCAAAATTCATGTGTCTTGTCTGACCTTAAATATGACGATCACATCTATACTAGCTTTTCACAACATTTTTGCCATCAGTAGCCACCTCCCCCACCCCATATGTTCATCCCACTATATTCATTGTGAGAAAAGGGACCAAAGGAAACTTTCTTAAACATCTGTAATGATCAAGACTGTATCTTCCAGATCGTGCAAGTGGAAGAGAGCAGGTGGTCACAGAGGGCAAGGTCTCTGCCCCAGCCAAGGACAACGCCTTTAGAAGCCTGCGAGGAAGGGCCCTCTCCAGTGTAGGACTTCTGTGTGTGGGGATTCCACTCCATCTGGCCGATTTTTGTTGCATATCCACTTCACGCCAGGTTCTGGGCACACAGGTTGTTAAGAGGTTTACAGATGAGATGGCAAAACAAGACAAACTGGGGGCTAAAATCACAGCCATGCAGTGCCAGGTACATGTGGGCACAGGGTGCTCCGCGTACAGAAACGGAAACGCCACTGGTATGCAGACTGACGGGCCCTTCCTGGAGGCACTGTGTATCCGAGTTGTATCTTGAAAGATTAGTAGCTAGAAAGAGAAGGGCAGGAAGGTTCTAGGCAGAGAGCATGAGGAGCACAGGGGAGAACTGGAACTGTTCCCACATCGCTGGAGCAGAGATCGCCTTGGGGGGAGAGTAAACAGTGAGACGTCTTGAAAATAAAGGAAGAAGAACTTCGAGAACACAGTGGACAATGAATGGCTGAGGGAGACAAGCCTGGACAATGCCCACAGAGTTGGCAGCTAGGACAGGACAGGATCGAAGTGTCCGGGAAATGGCTGGGCATTCAGCCAGACTGCAGTGGACAGGTGCTGAGGGGACAGGAGACAAGCCAGTGAAGACAGGTGAGCAGCTCCTCCAGGAAGCTGGCGAGGGAGGAAAAACAAGCCAACCAGGACACCAATAAGTTTCCATCAAAATGACACAGGTTCAAACATGTTTAAAGGCTGATGGAAAAGAGCCAGTGGAGAAGGAGGGGACAGCAGGGGACAAAGCCACTGAGTAAGGATTTCCCAGCCAGGAAGAGCTATGCACATGCAGAAACCTGGAAAGAGTCCACCTCAGGTGCCAGGGAGACAAAAAGATGGGTGCAAATACAGAGAAAAGGGTAGGGGGTGGGGGGAATCGGAGAGAGTTCCTGTCTGATATCTACCTTACAGAGCAGGAGGTGAGGCGATGGGCTGAGGGCAAGGTCGAGAGGAGGAAGGGAGGGGACTTCAGGGTGACAGACTGGAAATAGCTCCTCTGAGGAATGGGGGGCTGTCTGGGCACATGTGTAAGATTGCCAGGCTGTGACCAAGACAGCTGTGGGTGCCCCCATGAAGTTGCGGGTACCAGTGGGCCCAGATGTAAGCAGTTCTGCAGCACCAAGGTAACAGCCGGGTGCTGAGACTGGAGTTCTCTGGTCAAGCTCTGGAGACAGTGACAGAGCAAGGCAGGCTGTCAGTGGCAGGTCATGTTCGGCCCCTGGGCAGAGAATGGACAAAGCCGGTTTAGTGGTAGATTAGGGGCCCGGAATAAGTTCGGGAACCGGAAGTCGGGTCGGGAATATCAGGGGAAAGAATGCTAAGGGCCAATGGACAGCACGTTGCAGTCAGAGGTTGGGAAATACTGTTCTCAAGTAGTAAAGTTCTCAGAGTGTTTTGAGGACTAAGGCTCACCCAAGCCTTCCCCTGCACTGGCTGTGGGTAAATTATGCTCCACGTGTTAGCAGGCAGATTCGGTTACTCTAACTAAGCAGAGATTATGCAAAAATAGTCAAGAGAGCACCCATTCAGTCGGGTGCCATCCATTTTGGTGGCCTCCCTCTCTCCAGGGCCCATGCACATGCACATGTCCCCGTCCTGGGCTACTCCCCCCGCCCCCCAAATCACAGCGTCAGGCCCACTGCTGTCCCACAGATCACTTGCTACTATTAATAGCTCGAGTTTGTGGACAATTTTTACTGTTGCAAATATAAATTATTGATATATCCAGGTTGCTCCCTACGACACTCTGACTCATTTTCATTACAACATGCTTCCTTGAGAAAGAGATGGAATGAAATAGCATTCCAGGAAAGAAATGTCACACAGGCCTGGTCACACCCCCAAGCATGTAGCCTGTGCAAATTTCATCCATGATGAACACCACTGGGGAAAACGGCTGAGAACTTCCTTCATGACAACAGGAAGTCAGACATTTAATTCTGGATTGCATTAAATCCAATAATCAGTTAAAAATAAAAGGGACAGATACCAGCTCTGTCTTCCAGGGGTTAACAATGGAAAGTCTAATTCAGTGATACATATAGAGGAGACGGGTTTCCACCATCCTATCCCCATCTTTCCCTCCATGGACTAAATGCTGGGGCCCCACGGGGCGCCTGCAGCTCCCGGCTGCAGCAGAAGCCTCAGCCACAGTGGCACTGAGGAGCTAAGCCTGGAGAGTCCTTGCGACGTGCAGGGCACTTTTAGGGGTTGGCTCCCTTGAGCCTCCCAGTAATCTTTGAAGGTGGATGCAATGGTTGTCCCTACTTTACAGATGAGGAAAGTGAAGTCCAGAAAGTGTAAGTCATTTGTCCAGGGTCCCAGAGTCAGTAAGTCACAGAACAGGGAGCCATACTCAGGCGGTATCATTCTGAAGCCCAGGTCAGAACCACTGCCCTGCTCTGCCTCCCGAGGACAAGGAGGCTGGGAGAGAAACCCACGCCCGCTGCCTGGCCGGCCTCTCCTGCGATCGTCCACTACTCGAATCCTGCGCATGCTCGAAGGCTTTGTCTCCACTCTGAGACACTTCTCGCGCGAGAGCCAACGCTCCCCTCCTCTCCTCCAGCGCCGGCTAAATCCTCTGCTGCCCTGTGGTCAGCCACGTATGGTCTTAGGCATTTGCCTGTCTGCACAGTTATTCCTTTTGCCTTTGGAGTTCTGGGCAAAATCTGTAGGTGGGATAGGGCCACTCCTCAAGACATCCAGAGCACAGAATTTCCCTCTCACCCAGCAGGCCCCTCCTGCACCTGTGTTTAGGGCACAGTGTCTCGTACAGAGCAGGAGCTCAGTATGTATTTGTGGAGATACGTACAGAGGGGTTTAGCAGAAGAAATACGGCTTTGGAGTAAAAAAAGTTGGCTAGTCTGGCCGGTGTGGCTCAGTGGTTGAGCGTCAATCCATGCACCAGGAGGTCACTGGTTCGATTCCCAGTCGGGGCACATGCCCAGGTTGTGGGCCACCCCCCAGTGGGGGGCGTGCAGGAGGCGGCCAGTTGATGTTCTCTCTCATCAATGTTTCTATCTCTCTCCCTTTCCCTTCCTCTCTCTCTAACATCAATAAAGGGAAAAAAATGATTTTTTTAAAAGGAGTAGGTTAAAACCTCATTATTTTCTCCACCTAGCTGTGTGACTTGGGACAAGCTATTTAATCCATATGAGCCTGTTCCTCTTCTGTGAACATGGAGGTGACACGCATGCGTCACATCAATGCTGGTCAGATTAAATGAGATACTGTGTGGGCCTCGATCTGTCAGCACCTTTTACACTATTCTTGCATTGTCCTCAGTGAACCCTGAAGATAATTCTGACCACATATGTGCAAAGACACTACATAAATTTCAAGGGGAATAAAGCTATCCAAGACTCTCTTCTTCTTTCTAGAAACTTAGCAACAATAAAACAATCTAATATTTCAGTTGCCACCCAAGATAATAACAGAAAAGGTGTCAGGAGTCAATATACAATTGATGATCAAATAACCAGTATCACTAATAATTACGAAGAAAGTTCACAGGAAGGTGAAACTGTTTTGTGCTGTGGTGTTGGGAAATTTGGTTGAGAAAGGGGACTCTCAGCTTAGTTTGATGGGTGACCATGAGCCAGAAAAGTGGGGAGGAGATGCTGTCTTCTCTGGTGGAGGAGTGGGGAGGGGAAGCTCAGGCCGGAGGCTGCAGAACACAGTCCTTGTGGGAGGCGTGGAGACGGGCAACACGCTGCAGGAGGGGTAGGGGCACACGTGGGCGGGGCAGGTGTCTGACTCAGGAGGGCTGCAGCCCCGAGGCCTAGCCAGCCTGGGTCCGTTGGATGGACACGTAGCTCCCGCCCACAGTTGCCAGATATCTTGATTTCTTTTTCCCAGAGAAGATGGAAATCTGGGTTTCTATTTAAAAATCTCACTATTTTGAAATACAGGGTGGGCAAACGTAGGTTTACAGTCACTCACATGGAAAATAATACAATAATTAATAAATAATAATACAAGAACAAACTGTTTCCCATATTCATGACTGTAAACCTACGTTTGCCCACCCTGTATTTGTAACAAATTTGCAAATTTAAGAAAATACTCCGATAGGTCAAGAGCACAGGCCACCGGCTGGACTGCCGTGCGAGCACGGCCTGAAGTTCTGGCGGAGACGTAGGCACTGGAGCGGAAGGATACACGCGTGACCAGAAGGCCAGGCTGAAACGTTTGGACTTTCAAGAAACAGGACCGACCCTGGGCATGGAAATGCCAGCCGACGCTCCTTCCGTCCGTAGCCCCCAGAGGAGAAGTGATGGAAGACCACTTGGGTTGCTAAAATTTTATCAGCGTAAGTTTTCCATATATCTCTCTCTAACGGTTTTGCCTAAGAAATCAACATATTGCTATGATAATGAACTCTGATCAATGTTGGTGGGGTGGGAAGGGGTAAAGGGGCGAGGAAGGGTAGAGGGGTGAGGAGGGGTGAGGGGTGAGGAGGGGTAGAGGGATGAGGAGGGGTGAGGAGGGGTGAGGGGTAGAGGGGTGAGAAGGGGTGAGGGGTGAGGGGTGAAGAGGGATGAGGAGGGGTAGAGGAATGAGGGGTGAGGAGGGGTGAGGAGGGGTAGAAGGGTGAGGAGGGGTGAGGGGTAGAGAGGTGAGAAGGGGTAGAGGGGTGAGGGGTGTGAAGAGGGATGAGGAGGGGTAGAGGAATGAGGGGTAAGGGATGAGGGGTGAGGAGGGGTGAGGAGGGGTGAGGAGGGGTGAGGGGTGAGGAGGGGTAGAAGGGTGAGAAGAGGTAGAGGGGTAGAAGGGTGAGGAGGGGTGAGGGGTGAGGAGGGGTAGAAGGGTGAGGAGGGGTGAGGAGGGGTAGAAGGGTGAGGAGGGGTGAGGAGGGGTAGAAGGGTGAGGAGGGGTGAGGGGTGAGGAGGGGTAGAAGGGTGAGGAGGGGTGAGGGGTGAGGAGGGATGAGGAGGGGGTAGAAGGGTGAGGAGGGGTGAGGGGTGAGGAGAGGTAGAGGGGTGAGGGGTGAGGAGGGGTAGAAGGGTGAGGAGGGGTAAGGGGTGAGAAGAGGTAGAGGGGTGAGGGGTGAGGATAGGTAGAGGGGTGAGGGGTGAGGAGGGGTAGAAGGGTGAGGAGGGGTGAGGGGTGAGAAGAGGTAGAGGGGTGAGGGGTGAGGAGAGGTAGAGGGGTGAGGGGTGAGGAGGGGTAGAAGGGTGAGGAGGGGTGAGGGATGAGGAGGGATGAGGGGTAGAGGGGTGAGGAGGGGTGTGTGGAAGAGACCAGGGTCTGTCCTCACCTTATCCAGCAGGCAGTCGTCTAAGGTTTCCATGATCAGGGGTGTCATGGCTTCCCGCTGGGTCCTGAGGAAGCAGCAGTGTCTGAGTGGCTTCTCTCGCAGGACAGCACTGTGGGGTGGCTCTCCCAAGAGAGTCAGTCTCCCTGTGCTGAATTTCTCTGGAGACGTGTCCATGGACCAGAGACTTGTCTTCTCAATTCTCCAATGAAGCTCTCATTTGCAAATTGTGAACATCCATCTGTTATCTTTGGGAGAATTAAAAAAATAATTTAAAAAGGAGAGTTGATGAAATGGAATTTGCGCCCAACCTAATTTTGTTCTATGTAGCTCCGGTGTCGTGGCCGAAGTGCAGTTTCCCAAGCTGTCTCCACTCACACAGTCGGGACAGAAGTGCCTACAGCGGCTTCTCCCCACCCTTTCAAGCTCCTGTCCTACAACTAGATGCGCCTTGAGCTCAGTGTCTTATATCCCCGGGTCCTCCTGTTGACAGTAAATATCTCTTGCCCTCTAACCCAGAAAATCCTGCTGATTAATTTTCCTTCTTTACAATAAACAGAATAGGAAACTGCCCGACAACTAGCCTGACACCCATCATTGTGCCTGCAAACAAGTGATCAGGTCTTGTCAACCAGATCAGGGCACAGCAATTCGTGTGCGGAAAAGTCACACGAGCACACGAATGCACACCCACACACATGCACGCACACAGAGGCACACCCACCAATGGCAAGACAGGGATCCCTCTGCTCACCTGCTGACCTTTAACTGTAGTGTCCCTCTTTCCACTTGAAAGCTGGCAGTGAAAATTAAGTCAGTGTAAACAGACCTCTTGAGAGTCGAGGAAACAAATCACGTCTGGTTTTGCCAGCAAAACCATGTTGGGAAACAGCTCATGCAGTAAATTCCCAGTCTGGCTGGCTGGAACTAGTTTCATTACAGGAAAAAAAAAAATCACAGTGGTCTGATCTGATCTCCCTGAAGCTGGTAAACATTCATCTGCTATCCGATGATCTACAGAAATGACAGCGCTCCGGGAGCCAGCGCGCTTCCGAGCAGTGATCCGAACCCACCGAGGGCTGAGCCAGCGCTGGCTGCCAGGGTTCCGCTTTCTGTGGCCTCAGAATTTGCATATCTCACCGAAGGGACAGGTGACAGGACAGCAACAGCTCCAGGCTGCTCAGCGCTCCACCTACCTCATTAATCCCAAGGTTCAGTCCAGCTCCTTCTCCAGAGCCCTTCTCTGTCTGAACCTGCATTCTGATAAGAACAGGGCAAGCCACCCACCCACCTCAATCCTGCCATTTTCTTCCATTTCTCGGTCTTTTTTTTTTTTTTTAATCTTTATTGGTGAATGTATTACAGATGTTCCTCATTTTTTCCCCATTGACCCCCACCTTCCCACTCCCAACCCCCTCCTGCCTTTTCCCACACTGTTGTCTGTGGCCATTGGTTATGCATATAAGTTCTTTGGTTTATTTCTTCCTACCCCCCAACCCCCTTCTCTTTGAAGTTTGTCAGTCTAGCAGCCAATTTGTTCTTCTTAATCCCTTCACCTCTTTCACCCATTCCCCCAAACCCCCTCCCATCTGGCAACCAACAAAATGTTCTCTGTATCTATGACAATGTTTCTGTTCTGCCTGTTCATTTTGTTTGTAGATTCCATTGTCGATAGATATGTATTCATTGCCATTTTGTTTGTTCATATATTTAATCTTTTTCTTCAAAAAGGCCCTTCAACATTTCATATAATAACGGTTTGGTAGTGATGAACTCCTTTAACTTTTTCTTGTCTGGGAAATGCTTATATGGCCATTGATTCTAAATGACAGCTTTGTAGGATAGAGTAATCTTGGTTGTAGGTTCTTGCTTTTCATCACTCTGAATATTTCTTGCCACCCCCTTCTGGCCTGCAAAGTTTCTTTTGAGAAATCAGCTGACAGTCTTATGGGAACTCCCTTGTAGGTAACTAACTGCTTTTCCCTTGCTGCTTTTAAGATTCTCTCTTTGACTTGAACCTTTTGCATTTTCATGATGATGTGTCTTGGTGTGGGCATCTTGGGGTTCATCTTGTTTGGGACTCTCTGTGCTTCCTGGACTTGTATGTCTGTTTCCTTCACCAAGTTAGGGAAGTTTTCTGCCATTATTGTTTCAAATAGGTTTTTGATTTCTTGTTCTCGCTCTTCTCCTTCTGGCAGCCCCAAGATGCGAATGTTGGCACGCTTGAAGTTGTCCCAGAGGCTCCTTACACTGTCCTCATTTTTGGATTCTTTTTTTTTTTGCTGTTCTGATTGGGTGTTCTTTTGCTTCCTTATATTCCAAATCGATGGTTTGCTTCTTGGCTTTACCTACTCTACTATTGAATCTCTGTAAATTATTCTTTATTTCAGTTAGTGCCTCCTTCATTTCTGACTGCTTCTTTTTTATGCTCTGAGGCCCTCACTAAGTTTGCTGAGGTTCTCACTAAGTTCATTGAGCATTTTATAAGCAGTATTTTGAACTCAGCATCTGTTAGGTTGCTTATCTCCCTTTTGCTTAGTTCTTTTCCTGGAGATTTTTTCTATTCTTTTATTTGGGACCTGTTTCTTTGTCTCCTCATTTTGGTTGCCTCCCTGTGTTTGTTTCAGTGTATTACTTAATGAGAGGTATGTGGCTAGCTGAGACCAGATGCTGCTTGTTTGAAAGGATTTAGGAAAACCTGAAGCAGGATCCAAGACAGGCCAATCCTATGGTAAAGCAACTGGCAACAGCTTGGGTGGGCCTGAAAGTTGGGTGGGGCGGGGCCTCAGGGGGTCACCAGGGCGGGGCCACCAGTGTGAGCCAGGTTGCTGGAGTCCCAGATATGGCGACTGTCTGTCGTCCCAGGGAAGGGCTCACCAAAGGAACAAAGGCCTCTTACAGCACGTCTGCCCCAGAGAAAACCCCCTCTCCAGCCCTCGCTCCAGTGCCAAACAGCTCAGTTCTTTCCTGTATGTCTCTGGTGCCCCTCGAGCTGCCTCCCCTCCAAGCTTAGAGGAAGAGAGTCTGACAACTTCATGCGCGGGCCTTTTAAGGAGCTGCCTGGGGCTCCAGCCACCTCAGCCTCCCTGAGCCTCAGTTCCTGTTGGTTTTTCCAGCCAGAAGTAATGGGGATTCTCTTCCTGGCACTGGAACCCTGAGCAGGGTGCCTGGTGTGGGATGGGGACCCCTCAGTCCTCAGGGAGGACCTTACCAGCTGAGGTGTCCTCCTGATTTTTATCCGCCACACGTGGGTGTGGGACCAGCCTGTCCACCTCCGCCCCTCCTAGCAGTCTGGATGTGGCTGCTGCTTTAATTCCGTAGTTGTAGGACTTCCATTCAACTTGATTTCAGCCGGTTCTGAATGATGGTTGTTCTGTAGTTTAGTTGTAACTTTGATGTGGTTGTGGGAGGACGCAATACCATGTTTACCTACGCTGCCACCTTGACCAGAAGTCCCATTCGTCATTCTAAGTGTCCTTTGCTATCCATTGCGCCTGAATATTTCTCAGTCTTCTTCCCTTGGCTTCTCTTACCCGGGGCCAGGTGTCCAAACAATCGGTTTTTCACAGAGGGGACAAGAGCCGTGCCCTCTGAGCTTCCTGCACTTCAGAATCCTGTCCCCACCTTGTTTGCAACTCAGCTGTTATTCCCACGTGCTTGTTTCGTCCTGGCTTCTGCTTCATCGTGATCCTTGACTGGGCGCCCCTTCCCCAGGCGGGGCCTTTCCTCCCATTCTGAGATTACCCCAGGTGCTCGTCGTCAGATGTGCAAACTTTCGTCACTGTGCCGGTGGCTCTCCCACCAGGACTGCTTCAGAACCGCAGCTGATCGAAATGGTGACACTGTAATCTTCACTGGAGCTGGGGCCTGTGGTGCCTGCCAGACGTGAGCAGAGACAACAACAAACAGGGCCAATGGAGGAGACAAAGAAGGAGGCAGGTGCTCTGGGAGGCTTACTAGAATCTACTTTTACCTGGATGTCAGACCCGGGAAACAGTGGTGTTGTATAAACACAACCCATTCCTTACTCCATGACATGGTTCCTTCCCGACAGAGGTTCCAACCGGTCTGCCGCTGGCAGGTTGGAAAAGACACACTTTCTTTGCAGATACAGATCTCCAGTTAATTGGATCTTGGGTCAGCAAATATGTATTGAGCAAGTCTGCCTAAGGCACTATGCTGGGCCACGGAGAGGGATTCAAAGTTAACTCAGATTCTTCTCCTTCTTCAGGAAATATGTCTCCTCGTTTCTCATGACTCACACCAATGCAAGTATGCACAGGCACACCAGCTGACTCAGCTTCTGTTGTGAGGACCAAGAAGTTATGTTTTAAGGCAATTTAACAAGGTATCCACAACCCTAACCCGTCAAAGTGAGCAGTCCTGGGAAGACGTCACCCTGGCCCACCAGCAGAAGTTTCTGTTACTGATTTACCTAGTGACCCAGATTTTCATTCCAAGAAGGTGAAGGGTTGGCTTGATCCAGATCAATCTTAAATATACACATTTGTTAAAGTTCTCCAAGGTTACAAACTCTGACTTATTCTTTCAAAGTCTGACTTTAATCCTGGGATGACTCAACTCTAACAGCTCAGGGGCCCAGACAGAGATGACTGTCCATGCTGTGAGGTAGCCCCCAGCGGGACCAGTGTAGCTGAGCGCCTAACACTTAACTGACCCTCAGTTAATAGTGGTGAGTATTTGATTGCAGTAAATATTAAGTGACATTCTTATAAATAAAATATTTGAAATGCATAAAATCACTTTATAAATTATCAATTTAATTTTATACATGAATATATTATTTCTTTAAATTACTATCATCTTTTATAGAAAGGCCTGATATAAAAAAACTTAGCATAGTATCTGGCATATGATAGGACCTCAAAAAATATTTGTCTTCATACTTCATTTTCTTCTTCGAGAAAAAAGACCCTTCTTTTAATGTGTTGACTAATTCTCCCGGTCTTATCTCATGGGTAAGATCTTTCATTGGGTTGGTCTTCACGGTTCCATCAAAAAGCTCGTCTCCTTTCCTCTCATACCAAAAACGGCCACTGAGATCGTGTGGACTTGGTCTTCTGTCTAGGTTCATAGGTGGAGGACCCCAAATTCAGATGCCTACATGGGCCAGGTAGGTAATAAGATAAACAGGATAGAGCAGAGCAATGAAAAGG